GTTAGCGGTGGGAATTCTTCGTCGTCTTCTGTAGCGAGGAGGGCAAATCGGTTAGCCATGGTGCCAGGAGGCGGCTGACGACGCGGTACACGACGTTTACGTGGACAGAGGGGTGACGTAATTTCGTGGTCATCAGACTTGCATAGGGCGCACTTGGGGGCGGCTGCTCCTTCAGGGGAGGTCTGAACTGCAGTAGGATTAGGGCACGCCTTCTGGATGTGGCCTTCACGAAGACAGTTGTAGCAATACATACGTCGCGGCTGGAAAGGCTTAGGGGTGACGACGGACCCGTGGTAATAAAAGTGCGTGGGAAGTGAGCCCGGGCCTTCAAGAGTTAGCAGAAAGGTACCGTTGGTGCCCAAGCACCTCGCCTGCAGCACCTTGTGAGAGGCAGTGTAGAGGTTGTCGAGGACCTCCTCAGGGCCCTTATTCTTGTCGAGACGGTAGACCACACATCGAAGAATATTTGGGCCGGATGCGAAGTACGCTTGCACAGGGACATGATGCGTCGCACTGAGCGGTATTTGTCGATCACACAGAGTTTCTTTGCATCATGAAGAGAAGCCAAGGGAACAGTTATACTGTTCGAGGGCTTGTGTAGCACGAAACCTCGGTAGCCAGATGTTCCTAGAGCCGAATCGATGGCAGATTGGACGTTCCTTGAGGGAACCGAGGTGATGTCGAAGCGCAGAGTAGGCTTGATCTTGACCCGAAAGGATTCGGAGCGCGGAGGAGCGGTGTAGGCTTTAGGCTGATGCGTGGAAAGCGGGATGGGCTGATGGACACTCTCGTGTGGTATCGGTTGCGGTAGCAAGGCTGATGGGTCGACTGGAAAAGTGATCGACTTGGCCGGCAGGCCTGAGCAGTCCATTTCAGCTGACGACGAAATGTCGGTGGTGGCGACGGTGGCTAATGTTGTAAACGCCCCCGACGTGGTGAAGGTCGATGAAGTGGCACTACAGGTAGCCTCGGCCGCTGAGGGCAGAGAGGTCATGGCGCCTTTGTTCGGCGTGGCCTCGCTTGGCGGGGCCAAGCTAAGCCTAACCTGGCCATTGAAGTTTCGGTGGACCTGTAGATGCCGACGGTGTTTCCAATGAATGGTCCTACGACCGCATGATGAACCAGGAGGTGACGGCAATCGAATAGCGGAGGCCGTGGCCCCGGTGGGGCGCTGAACTCGAAGAAACGAAGGAGAAATCGCAGAGCACAACGCAGTAACGTCAGCTCAAATCCTCGTCGTCTTCGTCGAGCCTCAGTCTATACTTCGTTTCAGCTTCGGTCTAGACGCAGCCGATGCTACAAGCGCGAGCATGTGGCCCAGAACAGTGCTTGCACTGCACGAGCGCGCGTGCTTGGCAGGGGTGCTGAAAGCCCGGAGCTCGCGCTTGTAGCTTTGGCTGCGTCTGGACCGAAGCTGAAACGAAGTATAGTTAACCCACTCAGACACCGATCCCCATGTGTCGCTACCCTATCAGATAAAGCTGCCATAAACAGTGGTTCTATAGTGCCTATTATATGCCGCCTATGTTCATCATAATCACACGTTAGGGTTAATAATGCATAAGGCAGGTGTTGTGCTCCGGACAGTGTTTCAGTTCGGCTGGCCCCTTCCCCATTGCAATTGGACACTAGCCATGATCCGAATACCCGCCAAAGCATTGATTAGCCCAAACTTAGCGCTCACGCAGTGCTCGTCTCTAATTTATAAGCTGCGCTGGGCTGTCGTCACTCTCTTGTAACCACAGCATCTACGTCAGCATAGTGATCCTCGTGACTATGTCAGCAATCTGCCAAGGAGTGACTGAGAGAAATGCCTCGCTTGAATTTTTCACATTGTACTGCGAAACAGAAGCTTCTGGGTGAGTAGGGTTGAGTGTGCTGGTTTCACATTTCCGTTCGTATGCTTGTGTGAACTGTGTAATATTAAAAGCAAACCCCAATATTGTTTCATAAACGCATTTTACAGTGTTTTATACTTCGTTTCAGCTCAAGTCAGGAGGCAGCCGACGCTACGAGCTAATGGGACGTATCACGTAGAGTCAAAAGCGCAAGTCACTGGACATATTGGTTCAACGACGATAGAACACGTGCAGAAACATGACGAGCGCCATGAAGGTACGCTTTTGACGCTGTCTGCTTGGTCTCATCAGCTCGTAGCGTCGGCTGCGTCTGGACTTAAGGGAAAACGATATATAGAGAGTTGCAGTGGCAGAACCGGCACCCACACACATGGGCGCGCATGAAGACGGTCGATGTAGACTGCCGCAAGGGGAGAACGTGGAGCTGCAGTTCCCACCCTTAGAAGAGTTGGTGGCACTAGAACACTCTAGAATGTGCGCTGAGCGAGGAAGAAGGCGAGGCGGTGTGCGGTATGTCCTCTTGAACCTAGCACTTTTCCTTGTGGTGTACCAAGTCTGTTATATTCCATGTAAGTCTCACCATAGCCTCCTCTATACTGACAAATCCTGGCAGACCGCCACGAGACGCGGCCACCGAAAGTGAAAAGGTAGAGAAGCAGACAAGAGTCATGTAACGGGCGTCCCGCTGCGGCGAGACGCCGAAACACACTTGTCCCGAGCGATGGAATGTCCGCTCGTGCTTCCCCGCGTTACTCGGGCTACCGCTTCTTTTCTCGTCGGGTTTGAAAGCCATGTTTCGGGTCCTCGCCGCTGCAAAAACTGTGCACTGAATACCAGACTCCCAGAGAAATGCTCTGTGCTACCAGATCCTCGAGCTCCCAATATGCGACCGGGCACTCCATGGCTCCGCCGTCGAACTGCCAAGTTTTCTAAGTATAAAAAAGGATATGGTCTCACCGTTCCTTTGACGTCTAGGTCATAAATAGAAAGAAGAAGACATACACACGCTGCTTCGCGCAGGCATGAGAGTCGAGTTACCCGAACAGCAAGGGCAGCCAGAGCACCAGTAATCGAAAGCCGTCGCTGTTTCGTGCACCAAAGGAGGAGTCACGCAAACTAAAGTGGAAACGATGTCTAAAACAAAAAGATAAATGCTTCGTCGAGACAACAGCGGTGTGCGAAAGATATTTTGAACTTGAACCGCATCTCATCCTTCAGGAATATGTGCACACCGTGAACGGCGAACAGGCAAGGATTTCTCGGAGCAGGCTTGCGATAGATGCCGTGCCGACTTTGCTGCCTGATTTCCCGGAGTGCCACCCAAATAGCGAGTTCGTTTCACGGCACTCGTGTCCACGCGTGCCCACTAGCAGCGCGGAGTGAGTTCGTTTCGGCCGGCACTCCAAGAGTTGTTGCACCCTCTGAGTTCGTTTCATCGCCGACACCCCAAGCGCGAATGCACTTTCTGCACCGAGAAAATCGAGTGCGCGCCCAAATGCAATCCCGTTATGCCCCGCTCCGGCGAGGAGTGGGGGCAGGCTTGAGGAGCGGACGACAAGGGGTCGTCTGCTACGATGTGTCATTCATACAGCGGAACCGAAAGGAAAAAAAGTAGATTCTCTGCTAGAAGTCGTGTCCCGCGGGCAATCGAATCAAACGCGAGCTTGAGTATTGTGAGCTTCTGATGTTTCATGAAGGAAGCAATTGACAACCCGTGCTTTATTTGCAAGTTTTTAGTCGCTATGTTGCCGGACAGATGCTGAAATATACCGGTGTGTAAAGAAATGCTCAGAACAAACGCCCATCAGCGGCCCCCCGATATCTTCATCAAAGATATCGGGGGCCGATATTGGTGAATAATTGAACATTTTGTCGGCAAAGCTACCTCCGCAGAAACCTGTGCCTACCCAATAAGCATCCGAGAAAGCTAAACATAGTGGCTTTACCCGAGGCTTGGGCAGCATCATCATGTTTAACATTTACCTGCGTCAGCTATCTTGCCCCGTCGTATTTTGCTTGAGAAAGCTCTCGTTCTCGACACCAACGCCGACCTGTAACGACGATCGAAATCGAATGTCCCGCCAAACGTTGTGCTGGATATTCCAACAGACTAGTTTTATGCCGTACCCTTTAAGTGGTTCACGCATAATACCATGCTCAAACGGATCAAACTACTGCGCGGACAGCATCACCAGTTTTCTTCAGTATAAACGGTTATAAGAATTGAAAGATCGCAACCAGCTGCTCTGTAGTCAGCTGGTTGCGGAAATTTACGCCGTCTGTAAATATCTCTACGACAGCCGAGTTGCTTGAACTCATCGCATATACAAACTACAGGTTACAGCGAATGCACTCTCGCATTCCCACCCACCACGTCGAACAGAAAGACGCTAGTTTCGGTTTGAAGTCGGTACTCTTTCTACAACATAGATGGCGACAGCATCAGTCTTCTGCCCTCGGTGCATTTGGCAAGTTTGAGTTCAGTTCTCCGTGCGCCACTCCGCGAGTGCGATGCATTCTGGGAGAGAACTCGTACGGTGCCAGTGCGTGTGAAACGAACTCGCTAAAAGGCATATTACTACTAGGGCGCGAAACAACAGCGCCACCCCGTGTCGTCTACACACGAAATCTTCACGGAGCGGCCGCCGCTCTTGCCACCTACAGCTCTCTAGAACACTGTACTCCATATGAATACAAGCAACATCCTTTCTTTCCGGCGTTGGTGGAGGAAAACTGGATGTGAAGTTGATCGATTAACCCACCATATAAGTCATGTGAATCGTTGGTCCTGTTGCTTAATGTTTCAAGATTTCAGACAGAGGTGACCAAAGATGGTGCAGTTTGTGTCTAAAATGTTCATTGCATGAGCTTACCCGAGTAAAGAGCTTATCTTAGTAAAGGCTGGGATCCGCTACCTACGCCCTAATAAATAAAAAAAAATGAAATTAACACTTCATATCTAGGATTCCGACTGATTTTCTGATAACCAGCGTCTACAAGCTTCGCATTTCATAATGTTGCACTAGCCTAAACGAACAAACAATTTGTGCGGGCAGAACTTTAGCTCGACAATATCTACAAGAGGAGCAGTCAGCCCACCCCTCCTTTCTTGCTCCCTCGGTTTTGGTTTTCTTTATTTGCTCACTGCCTCAGCTTTTGAGCTTGGACTACGTGCAATAGTAGGGCTGCTAGAACAAATCCTGTTCGAGAAAGCGTAGTACTGGCAGCGCAGAACATGACACCGGCCTTCCTTAGATGGTGGTCTGTCAAGTTGTTGATGATGTCCTGGCTTTCGAGACAGCGAAACTTTTGAGCAAACAAGTTGATGCACTGGGCGAAATCGCGGGCGTGCCTGCATGGCATTGGAACATAAAAAAAGAAAATGAAATTAGGGTTTTTTAATATTCGTTTTTGTGGGCTTGTCTTCATAAAATAGCCATCACACGTAAAACCAGGTTGTTACAGTATCTGCGAAGTTCATCTTTCTCAATCCGGTACTTAAACCATCGAAGGACACCCCGTCCTTCGATGGAGACTTCTGAGAAACGCACTGGTTTAGCGTATATTTCAAGGGCTCTTGCGCGTTCCATCAAGAGGACACTAATCAGGGCCTTACGTGCACACAGACTTTCGCAGGGTTGGGGTCATTGCATTCACGGTGAACTGCCGGACGGTGTCGTTGCCAATCGCTCGGAAATCATCGTCGAAGACGCGAACACATGCGTCAGATCTTCGCTGCAGGTATTGAAGCTGGCATTCTAGGATGTAAAGGAGTGTTTTGAGTAAACATATAATAACTCTGACGTTGGAGTCTAATGAGCCGTAATGCGAGTGTTCATGAACGTCCTAATTATTAAAACATAAATCACTTATTGGCCAGTGAGAAAGACACTAGTAGTTTCCCAAGAGTGTGTACATGTGTTAAAATAATGAGATGGACAAGATGCCATTTGTCCCTCAATTGAGGGTTTATGTCACGAAGAAACCATTTCTTGGTTACGTCCCGCAACGTTGTTCTTCAGATAATCTAAAACTTGAACGTGCATCTACTTTCCCGCATTGTACTGGGAGAACCAATAACTGTGCTCGACTAAGAAAACCTCGGCAGATGTCCGGACTGAAAAAAAAAACGTTCCGGCTTGGAAATACACTCTGCGCTGTGGCACTGAGTATGATGTAAACTTGAGTGAGCATGTAAAACGTCCTTTTAGTTTCACTGCGCAGACTTCCTTTAAAACAAAAGGTGTTATATTGTTAGCTCCTAGCACGATCCTATCACGCAGATTCCTGTAACGCGGGGGCTTCACACAAAATTAAATATTTGTTTTAAGCTTAACAGATTTGTTAAAAAAAAAAAAGCTGTGAAAGCTACACTTATACAGTTTGTTCAGGTGACTTATACGGCCAGGGGGACATAGTATAGGGGCTAATCATAACGATCAGTCGGCTAGTTAATAAAAATATTGTTAATCAACTTTTTAATTAGTGAAAATAGTCGGACGGTTCCAATTAGAAATTTGCTGAGCGTCGTCCAAGACTCCTATATCAGTAATTTTAGAAAGACTGAGCGCGTGAGAAGTGCAGTAGTGCGTTAAAGTTACCACTCGTGGAGCAGGTAAAAGGTTGGGGCTAGATAAGAGACGGCAAAATCGCGCGGGCGCCTAACCGCGACCGCTAGCCTTGCACCTGCTCCACGAGTGGTAACTTTAGTGCACTACTACGCTTCTCACGCGCTGAAAGTCTTTCTAAAATGATTGATTTGGTGTTTTTCGATAACGTTCAGCAAGTTTCTAATTGAGACCATGTGTCTATTTTCACTAAGTAAAAAGTTAATTAACATATTATAATTAATGAGCCGACTGATCGTTATGATTGGCCCCATATACTACGTCCCCCTGAACGCAAAACTAACCTGAACAAACCACATAATGAAGCTTTCACAGCATTTTTTTAAACAAATATGTTAAGCTTAAAATAAAACACCTTGTATAAATATGCTTATCGAAACAACGAGAAAGAAATTCCAAGAAACGGCTCCTATATAGCTGTTGGGCGGGGCGCGTATAGTTCCAGGGAACGCCACCCCACAGAGAAGCCTTCTCTGGCGCAGCGGCCCGGCCGCCAGTAAGAGGGCAAGGGTGGCCGGCTCGGCCGGCCGGCCGCTCTGCACAGCCCGCCCGGGCAGCCTCCGCAGAGGTCGGCCGGGAGGGCTCGGAGCGGCGCGTAGCTTATAGGGAATACGCTACGTATACGATTGCTCTCGCATTCCTACACGTTAGCAGTTTTAAGTGTCCTCCTGTAATATTCCGTCCTTGTCACTTCTCCGTCTGGTCCTCGTCTTTTTTCGCTGTTTTTAATTCCGAAGTATGTACCAACTCGCCCAAGCCTCAACTTTAATAATTTTTAGTTTTGATTTTTTTGTTTATCAAAGGTAACCTCTTCTAGATTCGTTTAAAGGTGGGAACAAAGCCTACTTACGGGCGTTATCGTCAGCATCTGTTGTATTGGCCGCTGTGCCTTTGCGCTGGTCTGAGAGTAGTCTTTCCATGCCAAATAGATCGTTACTGTCACTCCATATGTCGTCGGTATACCAGGCATTTCTTTTGCTCAGCTCTCCAATCACAGAGTCGTCGTTCTTGTCCGGGATCTCAGCGTGCTTCCTCAGAAGTTCGTCCTTCATATCGTCGCTTGCTCCGCTCCACATCGCGCCCCTGTCAGCGACATTGCTCTCCAGCTTCGTATCCAGCTCTGAATAGTCCTTGCTCTCTTCCAGAGCTTTCCCATCAAAGTCCTTTATTATCTTCTCTCCCCTCCCGAGTTTTTCATCAGGAAACAGCATCAAATCGTCTTTGGTGTCACCTCCTTCTTTATGCTTGCTGAGCAGCTCATTCAGATCATTCTTTAACTGCCTCGTTTTCATTTTTCGCTCAATTTCGTATTGAGTCAACTGCGGCTTGGACTTCCCGGTCTGAGGGCTTGACAAACTGCTACCGGAGGCTTCATCCTTCTTCTCAAGTAATAGCCCTGGCGTTTCTTCGATGCGGTCTACGTAACGAAATCTCATCCTTGGCTCTCGATGCCGTATGTTAGTGTTGAAAAAACGTTTGTGACTTGGTTGTACCAAGTTTTCCGGGGAAGCACCTTGCTTGTTCTTGGTGTTGCTCTTCGTTTCGAAGCCGTTCCTGTTCATCCTGCCCGAGTCTATATTCCTATCTCTATGTAGGTCTTTATTACTCCGACGACTGTCGCTGCCTAGAAAGTCCGGTTGAACTTTTTCTTTTGGAAACCGTAGTCCTGGCTCCTGCAAAACCACGTTGGGGCTTACGTAATTCGAATCGTTATAGTAGTGTCGAGCTTCAGGATGGGGTTGTAGTTCCTCTCGGTAAGAATTTACGCCACGCTTGTTTGTTTCACGATATTCCAAACCGGTGTTGTGCTGTCTTTTGAATGGACGATTCTGCACGTCGCTTCCCATGTCTTTTGCATCTTCCCCCATTGAATAATAATTGGGATTGTGGTGACGTTCTTTGCTTTCAGCACGCTTATCGCCAGAACGCGACATTATTTTATCTCCGTCACTTTTACCACTTCCTCTAGTATCGCTGTCAATTTTTCTTCGAACGGAGTCGTAATCCCTAATATCTTCCCCGTAGTCTTCGTGCTTCGTGCCTTGGAGAAAATGGGTATCTATAGGCGACCCTAGATTCCAATACCTCTTGTTGGAAGAAAGCCTTCGCGGGTTGTAGGGCTCCTTGCTCTCTAAAGGTGGATGGGAGTCCGGCAGAACCTTGTCACTTGATATGGTGTTGAGGTTTCCTTCTTTGAATACTGGGTTGCCCGGTTCATTCACTTCCACCACGCCACGGGGAGCCTCGAGATCGCGGACTGAACCGACGAGATTTTTGTCTTCTCTTCGTCTTACTGGCACAAAGCTGCGGGATCCGTGATGCCTGACTTCATGACTAAGGACATCATCATTTGGCAAAACTGGTCCGTCGTCTTCAGGAAATGAGACTATGTCCTTAGAAACTGCTTCATAGTCCGGATCACCCGAGTGCTTCACGCCGCCCACTGGCTTTTCGTATTCACCAACGAATTCATATTCCGGATTCCTGAATGCTCTTCTGCGCCGCTGAAATCCGTTGTTTGGACCTTGTAAGATCCTACGACGCCTAGCGTCGAAAGGTGCGACAACCCTTCTCACACCCCGGTCGTTCATGCCTGCGTTCAAATTGCTCTGGTGTCGGTAAGACGGAGGATATTTGTAAATTCGCGAGCTTGGAACGCCATGGTAGTCATAGTAAGCAAAACTATTATTGTATCCGTTGCGGGGCAAGCTTGTATCGCTTTGGACCATACCATCGTCGGCATGGAAACGACGATGCACGTCTCGTCCTGACCACTGGGTAACATGCCTGGGCCCCGCACCATCCCCACTTCTGTAGCGATTGTAGCCCCCTTCTCTTTCTTTCTGAAGCAGCTCAGACATGCCGCGAGTGTCTTCGTACATTTCAAGCTCTTCTTGTGGAGTCATTGAGGACCCACTACGCACGTTATATTCGTCCGCTTGAAGCTTGCCTTGCCTTGCTGCGTGTGGAACGTCATGAAAAGACTTGTAGAGCGGTGGAGAGTTCTGATGCAGTCCACGGTGCATTCCGTTGACTCGCCTAATGCTCTTATTATTTTCCCCCGCTAGTTGCTTATTTGGAGCATAAGCTTCGCCTTCAACGGCGCTTGGGTTGCTCAGTTGGTCAATAAAATAAGTTCCTGGTCGAGCAAAATCCCTATCAACTCGTTTGTTTGAAAGATCCTGGAGCGTGTCCAGGGGCCCAGAGTCGTAGCTATGTCTGGATTTCAGTTTTCTTGCCCTCTCGACGCCGGCCCAGAATTCCTGATCTCTTCTTTGCTCCGGCAAACTCACGGGATTTTGTATGCCGCGAGAAATATTATGAAAGAGCCTTTCATGAGCCGCCTCGACTGTTTTGAAGAAGCTTGGTTTTGGGGTCTTCCGAGTTGCATCGTTTTCAGCGTAGTCATAAGCCGGCTTTACATCGAGACTATCCGGCACTTTGTCTTCTTCTTCAATATAGTCTTCATAATCTGAACCGTAATAATCCTCCATTACTTGGTTCATTGCCACCTGCGCTTGAGGATCGGTCGATATGTTGACTCCTCTTCTAAACTCTTGTCTTAGAACTTTTACATTTCCGAAAATTTCGCCCGTTCGATTTTCAGGTAGGTCGCTCACTCTCCTCATGTTGCCAATTCCTATCCTCCGAATTCTAACACAAGCGTCATAATATTGCTTGCGCAATATTCTACCGAAGCTTTTCACGTGACCGCGCATCACAAGATCGTCTTTGCAACCATGCTCGTCTGCAGAGTCTGGCACACAAGTCTCATACTTCTTCAGAAGGGGACATAACACGTCCACTTTGTGACGGACTAGCTCCATCTCCTCAAGGATCTTGCTAAAGCTTAAACCGCAGTGAAAGATGCGCTTGAGAGCCAAGAGGCGCCGACAGAAACTGCCGTTGGGTACCATTATTGGAGAAGACGTATTACTGGACATGAGCCTTTCGCAGCGTTCAACGTAGTCGTTAGTGAAGGGTTGCAGCAGGGGTGCCACGTGAGCGTGAAGTTCAGACAGTGCGCATTGCGTCCGACCTTTCACATCGGATATGCAAGCATTAAGCTCGTTCAGATGCCAGCAAACCTCTGCTGAAATTTCTTTTGGCGAGTATTTCACCTCACGAACCGCAGTCTGGAAGTTGAGCCCGCAGAGGAACACTTTGCGAACTGACGGACCGGCCAGACACTCTACTTGGTTGATTGGAGACGACGGCACCTTGAGTGCGGCACACTCTCTGGTGTGTTCTTTCTTCCACGTGTCAAGCAGAGAGCTCATGATACTGGTCGCTTCATCAGCGAGCAGACAGCCAGACTGCTCCTTGGCACTTAAAAAACATTTCTCGAAGTTTTCAGAGACCCTAAACGCAAAGGGAAAAAAGGGTTTCCATTAGACTAAAATAGTTACAAATATTGTACCACGTTATAGAAACAAATAAACCTCGAGTGCCTAGAGCATGCAACGGACATGTTGACCATACACTCGCAAGTCGCTTTTTGGGGACGTATTCGAACACAAAATCTGCTCAGTTCCTTACTATATCATGATGGCTGGCACTTTGCGCGTGCTATCAAGTTGCATGCCCTATTTAGTATTCTACCTTGCAGTCATTAATCATACCTGCATCTTTCCTTGTCCGCCATGTTGCGTCCTTCAAGGCGAGCCTGCACTTCCATGCCACAGGAAAAGTAATTGTTGAAGAGAGCGGTTCTCTTGCAGGCCTCCTTGTAGACAGATGTCTCAACATCTGCGCAAAAACGGCTCATACAAATTGAAAGTGTCGCAAACGGCATAACTATGAGTGTAAATTATAGCTTACTTCTAACACCTCTGCAGCTTGTGTTCACCATTGTCATGACCTTATGCAGGTACTGGAGGTGGTAACTCAACGACAAGTTTTTCATATTACAGTGTGCAACTCGTTCTGCTGCTGCGACGCAATCTTTGTAAGATGATACCTGACTGGAGAGATAGCAAAAAAAAATACACGTTTAATACTGAGAGATAACTATGAATGTCTCTAGAGATAAGTTCAATAGTTTTATAAATATTGTAAGCAGTTTGGAAAGAAAGTGGCGCAATTTCCATAGTTTTCTCTTTTTTTTTAAATTAGTATATTCATTAAGATACTCCGTATTTTTTTCGGTATTTTCTAGAAATCTGTTCCCCCAATACAATTTCCCGTGATCTCACAAGTTATTCATATGTTGTTAGTTTCTCTAGCGACTTTGAAACGTTTAGTAAGATGACAGTTTAGAACAAGCATTAAACCACATTACGCTGTTTCTATGGTAGGTCACCACAGCTATTCCGAATAATGTATCCGCGATCCTTTACATTTTCAGCCGCGCACGTTAGCGTCGAGTACTAAACATGTTACCTATTACGATCTTGCCACAAATGTGAGCTTTCAAACACGAAGAAGGAAGCCTTTTGGGCGGGTGATGACAGTAAATCAAACCAACTATCAAACATTTATCTTAATGGGTCATCCAGTCTGTGAAATGCAAGGATGTGAGCCAAAATGAGAGTGCGTGCAGTATGTTTGATCATTTTAATAAAGACGTTTCAGATGAAGGAGGCGGTCACTTTGCTTGTGCCACTTTAGTTATGAATAGATTTCCGATCTCGGAAGCCTCTTCATGGATGTTACAGTCACTCACAGCTGAAAAGCGATAGGACATGACCAACTCAAGTCGTCCCTGTGTTACTCGAGAAGATCACCATATGAAACCAACCAGGAAAAAATATCGAAGTGACGCACTCCGCCATAATAATAAGTCACGGACTATACATTTTCGGCTGCCACTGACCAGAGTCACCCGGCGTTTGTTAAAAAAATTCAACTACCTCCGGCATTCCCTTTCCAGTGGCGGTTTGTGAAACAGGTAACGTAGCCAGTACGTTACGCCGAACAGTTGCGTCTCTAAGCTCCTGATTGCAGTATGTGTCTCATTTTGGGACTTCTGTCAGATTAGTGGAGAGTGTCTCACGTACGCGCAAGCGTCTTGGTCGATCCGTTCCTCGGGTGACTCGTATCGATTCACCCCGCAACGCAGAAACTTCCGCAGAAATGGTAGGAGCTGGCAGTCCAAATCAGGCATTTCTGAAATGAAAATGAAACGAAAGAAAGAGCCCTACATTTTAATAAATCAGTAGCAACATTGACCCCCGACGCAGCACACGCCTTTGCGTCGACGCTTCGCTTACGTGGTTCCGTAGTGCACTTTCCGGCAAATTTCCGACGCACCACACCGGACATGTATTTCAGGTGAGAATATACTTCCGTCCCGACACCGCACTCGGAGTACAGATGGATGTTGTCCATGCAGTTTCTGAACTTGACACTTCTCCTGAAATGTTTTTTTTTTGTTTGTTTTTACAGCCGACTCTGTATACCTCTACCAGCCAAGGAAATTTTCGTGTCGTTGGCGTTCTAAGCAAAAACCTCCCGGCGAACAATTGAAGGCAAAACAGCATATCTCCTTTGAAATCAGGCATACAGCATACAGCTCAGTATTCGTTTCAATAAAGAAAACCACAAAACAAGCATCAAAACCACATGATGGATGATAAGGCGCGTGTGAACAATAGGAACACCCTCCCACGCGTTCAGGTAAAGATTAGGTTAGCAGCTGCTTCGAAAGGGGTTGACGTCATTCGAAGCCCTCGTGTGAAATGCAAACCGCATAATGAGTGATAACGGCGCCTGCGAACAATGCGAAGCACGTAGTGACGTCACTAGCCTTTCATATATAAAAGAAGAACCCGCCTATACTTTGTTTCACCTTACGTCCAGACGAGCTATCTTAGCCAATCCTTTTTTTTTTGGACGTGGCCCGTGATACGCTTTCCGTGCGTCGCTGTGCCCCCTTCTCTAAGGTCACGTGACACTCACACGGCCTCCGATTGGCTCCGATGGCTCGTAACATCCGCTGCACTTAAACGTGAGATAATACGGAGTGTTGCAACTGATTTCATTGTTGCTACAGCACCGCGATGAATAAGCCACGCATAGTTAGGACTCCTGAGAAGCAGCGTGAATACTAGGAGCGGCAAAGGGAGAAGAAACAGCAATACGACCAGCGGAGGCGTGCTGCGATCGGCGGCGGCATTTCGTATAGTGCAGTAGGCAATCGTTGCAGGTGATACCGCAGCTTCGCTGACCAACCACCTTCACAGCGTGAATTGGAGCCCCAACCTTTTAGGATCATTTTGCATCACGGTCCTGAAAGAATGGATAGTTGTGCTCCAAAAACTGGGGTCCAGTCTACGGTATGGGTGTGCTGGTGCGCGTAGTGTGTGTGTGTGTGTTTTTTTATAAAATATAAATTTTATAATGGCATGGGGTACTCAAATTACGGCTAATGTAGTATTTTAGAAAAATGACTTTAATGTCTTAACTTTAAAAGGGGTTTGCGTTCGACCCAGTGGCGTAGCTACGCCAACTGGTACCAGGGGCCCTTGTATCTTTCGTAGCCCCCCCCCCCCCCTCCCTCTTTACTTCTGTCTGAGATGTCAACCAGTGCAAAGCGCGGGGGGGAGGGGGGTGCCGGGAGCTGCCAGCTGTGGCACCCCCCCCCCCCCCCCTTGTGGCTAGGACGCCTTGCAAACATGGCCCAGGGCCCCCGACTCTCCCCCCGTTACTGCGCCACTGGTTCGACCTCTTTACAACGCCCACCATAGAATGTTGTGCCATCTTCCTCATTCGATTCTGGAGTGCTGCCTTTGTCGAAATATATACTGGTAAAACATTTCTAGATCAAAACTATACTTTCCGCACGGCTGAATGGCGACGTGGAAAAAAAAGGCTCAGCTAGTAGTCAAAAGTTTAATGAATACACAAAGTGCTGGAAGGTTCAGACTTTTACGATAATTCCCACATTTAAGGCTCACTGCCAAATACAAGTGCGGCAACTATTAAGAAATTCAAACAATCACTCAACTTTTCCTGTATTTGGTTGAAACCTACGAATGAATTGTAGTATTTGATAATTTAATATATTTTTCGAATTATTTCAAATATTTTATATATATATATATATATATATATATATATATATATATATATATATATATATATATATATATATATATATATATATTTTATAAAGGATCGCTTCAGCTTAGTTGAGTTGGCTTCTCCCTACGCATACGCGTGCTACGGAGAAGCGACATTCGAGGCGGTAGTGGCGCGCGCGGCGTGCCCCGCTTCCTAGAAAGCGCCGTTGTGGATGGCCACGGTTTTCTGCGCTTCGTCAGCCTCCAGCCCTATCGCCCAAAGCTTCGGGCATCGATCTCTGAAAGTGATGGCAATTGATCCAGCAAGTGATCCGTTACCCGTGGATACCTGATATTCCCCAAGTGAGCCGATTTCTTGCCATATTCGCCACATTCTCGACTCGACCACGCCGAGGCTGAGCTAGGCCTAGTGATCGCCGCCAAGTTCCCGTTGCGAAACCCCCGGCCGCCGACGCTGCCACCATGGAAGTTGTCGTCGAAGCCACGGCTATCTCACAGGAATAACTCCAGCAAGCCTGCTTGCGCACTCTACAACGCAGCAAACGAAATCGGCAAGTCGGTACCAAAGAACAAATGCTCAGCAGCCAACGAACCCCGGCAAGCAAACGGTAAGCCTAACGCCGCTATTCCGTCTCGCCGTAGGGGCCCGCAAATCCCGCAACTACCCAAAGAACACTGCACAATTTTGCTCCGTCCTCGCGACGGTTTGGACGTCACGGCCTTCAGCCCCGCCCAAATTGGGACCGCTTTAAAACAAGCAGCTCGACTCTCAAGAGCCAAATCCACCTCCGATGTTTTCCGCATGGAAACAGCAAGTAACCTACTCGTTCTCGGCACTCCGAACCCGGGGGAATCCGATCCCTACACTACTCTACAAGCATTCATGTATAACCGCTACAAGTATGCCGGAGCCGGGCGGCTTGGGAACTCCTAAACGGTGCTCTACATCTTCGAGGGCCGCAAAGTAGCACACTTCGCCTTATACAACGGGGTCTGGCTCCGTTGCAATCTATACAAGAATCAAGTGCAAGTTTGCAAGTTATGCTACCGAACCGGGCATCGATGTGATATCTGCCTCACACCGCAAGTCATACGCTGCCCCGGCTGCGGAAAAGAAAATCCCATCAAGAGCCACCCGTGCACCCCCAAATGTCGCATCTGCGGGGGAGCACACCTCTCCGGCTCCAAACAATGTCGCAAGAGATTTGAAACTCTATATATCGTCGAGCAGCACAAGCTTCAACGACAAGAACAACAGGCCTACGAAGACACTCAGACGAACAATGCTCAACCCAGGGGCTCAAGGCAGCGACGACAAATGGCAACATCCTCGTCGTCTTCCTCCTCCACCTCGTCCACCAGAAACAGAGGAAGCAGCAGCACCTCATCCAGAGGCCACAGCCGCAGCTTAGTCCGCAACCACAGCAGAGGAACCAACAGGAGCAAAAGCCGAAGCCGCAACCTCCGCAGCCGCGGCCCAAGCGCCAACCGCCAACAAGAAGAGCGAAAGGTGAGCTGGGAAACTGTAGCCTCCCACAAACATGACTTGCACAACTAAGAAATAACTCGACTCATGTCAGAAAACACACAACTTAGACTGAACATGCAGAAACTCGCAGACGAGATTAAACGCATGCGTCTATCACCGACAACCAACCAAAAACCAACAAACACAAATCCCACGTGTTCACAAGAACGCTCAAACACGCAGACGACAAACACTGATTCTGTACCGATGGACACACAGGGCCCCTCGCCCAAACGAAACGCAGTAACCTCGATCGATCACACTCCTACACCGTTCACCCCAACCCAAACGACACCCACAGACAAGGAGGTTCTCAAAACGGCACTCATTGAACTCCTACCAGGAATCCTGCAAACCATGCTCACAGCCACCATCGCCTCAGTCAATTAACAACTTCAAGCCATCAATTGCCATCCTAATCAATTGGAAGACCACATAAACAAGTGCGAAACGCGCATAACAACACTTGAGCAAGCGCACACCACTCAATATGCAAGAGCATTCATAGCTACAATCCTACACCGGCTGATGCCCCTACAACCACAGTCTACATACCGCTCACGTACTCGATCACCACAGGGATTCCGATCCCAATCACCGCTAGTGACCCACGCACTCAAATTCTCTAGATCCAACATGGCGGGCCAAAATAATGATCTAATTTGGCAGTTTTTAAAACAAACGGGGCAATCTCCAAGAGTTCCTCCTATCCTTAGATCTTCAAAAACAAAAACACCCACATGTTAACGCTATACAGGAGGCCAAACATAAAGCTAAAGTCACAAGCAACAAGGCCTACTACGGAGAGGAGCAAGTCAGCTGGACGGCAACCTTTATTCATAGAGACCTAACAGCAATACAACACTCCATCGATCCTAGCTCCGCATCTTGAATAGACCACATACTTGTTGAAATCATCCCCCATAAGAAGAAGGACGGAAGTATTTTTATACTCAATATCTACGGTCACCCACAAGAGCGCAGACAGAGATTCGGCCCGCTATTTCACTCCGCCATGTGTCAAGCCCAAAATGAACCACTCATCAAAATATGCGACTTTAACGCCGCACATCCGTCCAGGGGCTATTTCAAGGAAACAGCCAAAGGACGCCAACTTTGGCTTTCCGCGCAAAAGGAAGGTCTCACGATCCTCACAGATCCGGACCTCCATACACGCGTGTGAAACAGTGTGAGCCGAAACACCAGCCCCGATCTGACCTTCGCCAAGAGTGTACAGAGTTGCAATTACCGCAATACGCAATAATGCCTGGGGAACGGTCACTATATCCTCGAACTCTCAATTGGCCTTCGCGCACAGCGACGCAAAAACAAAGATTCCCGGGTTACGAAGTGGGACCGCATTCGGGAGATACGGCATCAAGCGGCCCCAGAAATTATCGTTCACCTGGACACCTGGACCGCAGAGCTGCAGGCGAATGTCCAAACTCACAAGAGCGTGGTTGTCCCCGAAGAATCAGGACCAAGAACAGAGATAGATAGTTGTCTGCTACACATGTGGCAAGCACGGAAAAATATGCAAGATCGCTGGTTGGCACAAAACAAGCGCAAACGTAAGCTACAATTGCGAATCACAAAGTTAGACAAAGGAATCGCTCATCACGCAGCCAAGCTCACATCCCAGCAAGGCATCAAGCCTGCAATCGCATGCAAGGCAGCCTCGGTATGGCCAAAACCTGGCATCTACTTAGGCACCTGTTAAACCCTAACGCAACTAAGGCCGAACATCACCGCCAAATGACTAGGCTTCTTCATCAGCAGAAGAATGACCCGGATACACTCCTC